AAAGTCTGTAAAATACAGTCCCTTTTACTCCGAAGACATTCCACAAATACTACTTAAATCTGGGTGTGGTTTTTAGAAGACAGTATGATTAGAACATGTACTCGCAGGTTGCTAGTGCAAAATCCCCAAATAAATAGTCTAGCTCAACATCTAAAATCTTTCTAATCTACCTTGGATTTGTATGCATAAGTGAAGCAGTTTGCTAAGAACACAAGACCAGGTTTAGAATACAGGCTGGTGTTGCTCAGCAGGTTCTCCCAAGCTGAAGCTCTGCCAGAGGGCGGGGCCGAGTGGAGAGGGCTGGTCCTGCCCTCCCTGAGCTGACAGTTTTATGGCAAAGACCTTCATCAGGTGAAGAACTGGGAGATTCTTCTAAGAACAGTGGGTTTGAAAAGAGTCCTATAAGCGCGGGACTGACACAATCCCATTTGTCTCAAGTAGGGGAGAGTTATAGGGCCACTTGTGAGACTCGTGAGTCCAGGTGGGCAGGGTTGGCGGCTTCCACTTGAGCGGTGGGATGGTCAGTGGGTAAAAGTGAACAGATTGAAGGTGTGTTTAGATGATAAAAGGAAAGGATGAATGCTGTCTGTGAAGGTAGGATGGAGTAAGGCCCAAGTTTCTGGGTGGATTAATCAGATAAATGATGGTCATGCTCTACTCTTAGGAGGGAAACTTGCAGAAAGAGTTCGAGGGGAAAACTGATGAGTTCAGCTTTGGATAAATTGAAAGGCTGTTCGATGTGTGGTCTGGGAGCTCATGTGAGAGCCAGTAGTGAGTAGGGGGAGGGGGAGAGACCTTCAAATCATTTTGTCTTGTGAACATACAAATAATTATGAGTAATGACACACTTAACACCTCTATATTCTGGACTTATTACCCAGTAACATTTTGTTATATTGAGTGCAGAGGTTCTTAATTTTTTAATAGAATTAAAACAAATGGAAACAAAATAGTGGAGTTATCAATATCTTAGAGTTGATGTGTGTCCTTGTATGTATTTTGATACCTCTTCTGTATCATAATCTACAAAAGCTTGTTTAGCATAAGAGTTAAAAAGAGGGATGGGGCACACAATGTTGGGGGTTGAGGCTGATCTCATTGGGCAAATTATGTCGCCTCTTTGTGCCTTAGTTGCATCTTCTGTGACTGTCCCCGGGACCCTCATCACAGCTGATTTCCTAAACTAGATGTTGGGAGGGAGGCTGCTGAAGGGATGAAGATGTGGCAAATGCTAGAGATACTGAAGGGAGAGAAAAAAACAGATTAAAGCCTATAAACTGAGTACAAATACCCTCAAAAATGAAAGAATCCCGCAGTGTTTTGAGCCACTTAGCTTAAGGGAAACAAAATCACGTGGACCCAATTCTCTTGAGCACGTGAGTATTGTGGGTGGGAGGGTGGCATCAGAAAAGTGTTGAGAAAAGGCTTTTGGTTTCCCTTGACGTTTCCAGTAATGATGGGCACAGAAGCGACAACCCCCCGCTTCACAGTGGAAGCTGCTGTTTTGTGCGAAACTGACCGAAGGTTGAAGACCTGTCATCGGTGGTGCTGGCAAATGAAGAGACTTCTGGATTGGGTGGGGCACTTGCTGTGACTTCCAGGTGACCTGCTGGCTGGGGGCTGTGAGGCGGGCAGTAGGTTTCTAGGGTTGCCCGGGCATAATCCCTGGCTCTGAGGCTGCTGGTCTAACTAGCAGACCTGGGCACCCGCAGTCCTAATGGGGCAGCTAGGGAAGTGGCCTGGGACACCTGCCTTGCTGAGGGCGAGAAGAGGGCTCCCCTGATGGGGTGGCCCTGCGGAGAGAGGGAACATCCTCCTGCAGGGGAGGTAGATCCTCTGAGCAGGGTGCCGGATACACAGGCAAGACCAGCCTGAGCACGGAGGGTTCGGGGAGCTGCAAGTCATACAGTGGCCCGAGCAGCCTTGTTCCTGAGAGACTGGAGGTAAACGATGCTGAAAAGTCAGGCTAGTGTAAGAACCCATGGTGGGTTATGAGTGACAGGAAAGGACTTGTCAGGCAGGCACGAGAGAACCCTGTGGGCGTCCCAGCTGGGGCGTCACGTGGGAGGGATGAGCAGAGTTATAGACTTTGCCACTTATTAGCTGTGTGACTTTGAGCAATATCACCCCACCTCTCTCTACATATATCTTGATCTGTAAAGTGACAGAGTGACAAGCTCATGTTATCAGAAGGCTTAGTTTAGCTCTGGTCCTCTTTGTCCAGTCCTGTCAGTGCTGCCCTACAAGTTTCTGCAGCGGCTGCTCTTACCCTGAGATGGGAGGGCGTAGAGGGACTTTGTAGCGCCCGAGAGCAGGAAGGGGTTGCTTTAAAAGCAGACATGTAGCAGCCTGCAGTTGCAGACCTGCAGGCAGTTTGGATGACGGTAGTGGAGAGGACTTTGGATGCTTTAGCATCGTCTTAAAACTTGTTTTCTCTTGGGGACCGGATTTGTCTTTGTAGATTTATGTTGAAGATTTGGGCTTCTGGCAAAGCTGTTTTCAGAGATGGGTATATACGTAACATATCGTATAAAATAAAATGCTTTTATATAATGTGTGGGACTTTGCAGGTCTCAGGAACAGCTCTGTTGGCCTGGTCTCCACAGAGGACACTAGGGGTCAGCAGAGCGTGCGGGAGGGCAGGCAGCCCGCCCTGCTGCTGCGGGGGGTTCTTCCCAGCAGGGCGCTCTGCTGAGTTGACTCTTCTCTAAGTTTGGTCTGAGCAGACAGCAAAGTAATGTGTTCTGGTGGGATTGTATAATGACAGGAAGGAAGAGGAACCCGTGGTTTTTCGGTACTAGAACACGCTTTTGGTTCCTGAT